GCAGTTGGGACATGTTGCCGATTTCCTGTGAGTATTCTTTCTGGCGTCAACTCAGCCAAGGCAGTTGCTCGCATTTGTCGTGGAAGGGTTGTTTCTGGCTTGAGAAGTTGCTTAGAAAGTCCACGTGTTTGACCATAGGTTATACCTTTAAAATGTGTGCAAATACGCCGATTCTTTGAGAAAGTAACTTTCAACTGCATGTAAGGATTTTTGAAAAGTAGTTCTTTTGTTGAAATTCTAAATGATCCACCCGTTTTTACAGAACCCACGCAACCAGCGCAAGAGAAATACTTTGTGAGGGCTGTATCATTATCTCTTGTGTAGTTGATAACTGGAGCCACTTGTGCTGGAAAATCTGGTTCTTTCTGCAAAATATTTATCAACCAAGTATGTGAGATGGACCAGTCTCGCCAAAGGTATGTCTGTCTAATGGCATCATAATACACTAATTTTTCAAGCATCTCTGTTCGTGTCAATTGACATATTGTATCTTTTGCAGGTTCATAAATTATGTATTCATCATCCGTTTCGACATTCAATTGTAATGTTGGATCTATTCCCGCCATTAGTGCACCGACGTAATTATTCTGTTCTCTACTAGGTGATTTCGGAGGCTGTTCTGCTGATGGCCTGATTAATGATATAGTCGGCGGCTCTGTGATTGAAGGCTGGTTGAAAACAGGCACGAAATGGTTTGTACTTGGAAAATTCTGTCTACACCATTCGTCAAAATCTTGTTGCGTTTTAATCCTTATATTCACCCACATTATGTGTAGTGGAGGACGGTCGGTGATATTAGTGCTGTCAGATCGTGGTGAAATTTTTCGATTATACGTTATTCGTAGATCACTTTCTTCACCAACGTTTGGGTAAATGGAGTAAATTGGGTGTTGTATATATCCTGATAACCCGTATATTGCCAACAACGGTGAGTATGCATCTATTGAGCACATTTCCATTATTTCAGCTTTATAATATCCAGCCTTGACATAAAATTTCTCACTTTGGAAAGAGGTCCTCATTGCTTCATCAGACCAAGCCCAGTCTTTTTGGAACAACGAGAGTTGGAGGTAATATTTAGCATGTTTCATTAATTCCGACACAGAGCCCGCATGCAGTACTAGACGTAATGATTCATCGCCGCATAGAATGATTGAGGCAGCATTATACAGACACGACCCATCGGCACTCGATTGACCACAGACAAAATGATTATATTCCTCAGGGAGAGACAGATTGGCATTCCAGTCTGTCATGATATTGGCTGGTTTGAACGTATGCAAGCAAGTGTAATCATTTATTGGATCTATTTGTAGGCGGGTTGCATAATCGATCATGGAATCGATGGTTGGTTCGGTGCTGAGAAAGACCTTCGTAGCATTCAAGTAGGTAATGTAAGATGAATTATTCATTTTTGCAAGTGTTTTTATTATGTATTTTCCACGTTGTAAATTTGACTTGTTGAATATGTGAGATTGGCGAAAACCCTTCGCCTTTATATAATGAACCAGGTCAATTGTTATACTCAATTGATTTATTGTTGTTAGACTACGTGTGTACTGCTATGTATGCTACTGATAATCTTTACGCCGAGAAATTAGGACAATTAATAATTTATTTTGCGAAGCAAACTATTATACATTGTTTCGATTCCATCTAACATTTAAAATAAATTAAGCCGTCGAACATTACATGATTATTGTAGCATTGATTGTCAATCATTGTTGTTTATTTTACGTTTCTTCACAAAAAAACCATTATACATTCTTTCATTGTAACACCTGTCATTGTTGTTTATTATTCAATTATGGAAGTGTGCGAACCAAGTGAATAGTCTGATTCCCATTTATAGAAATAAGATACGGAAAACATTTGATCCGTCATTGTGTTAACGGCTAACGCCCAGGCCTCATTGTCTTAACGGTTAACACTTCTTCCACTAAATAAAATCGTATATACAATGCTGAATTATTTATAGGAACAAATTTACGCCCATGTCCGATATCATTGTTAAGCTGGCATCTCAATTACGACTCAATTGTTCTTACGGATAATCTAACAAGTGATACGACATTTGGCGTTCGCGAAATGAAATCGTATGTGTTCGTTTTAACAAAATAAAGTACAATGCTATTGTTAGATGAATTATTTATAGAAACAAATTTACATCTATGTCCGATATCATTGTTAAGCTGACATCTTAATTACGGCTTAATTGTTCTTACGGATAATCTAACAAGTGATACGACATTTGGCGTTCGCGAAATAAAATCGTATGTTCGCTTTAACAAATAAAGTACAATGCTATTGTCAGATGAATTATTCATAGGAACAAATTCACGCCCATGTCCGATATCATTGTTAAGTTGACATCTCAATTACGGCTTAATTGTTCTTACGGATAATCTAACAAGTGATACGACATTTGGCGTTCGCGAAATGAAATCTTATGTTTGCTTTAACAAATAAAGGTATAATATTAATATTGATATCTGATGAACTCGAATCTCAAACATACACGTACATTTAACTGTCGATGACTGATTAAGTAAATAAAAAAAAGACGTATTAGTATACATTTTCGCACTAATCGAAAGGCCTTTTTTTTTGACAACAAAAACAGAATGTTTATGGTCTGCTTCGTATCACATTTATTCAAGAAGTTAAAAGCGATTATTATTAGTATACGAGTACTATTGTAATGTCCGGAATTTTCGCTGGTCATAATTATGATGATCATCCTATTTATGGGAATATGCTGTACGACGTTAAAAGTGTGGGA